CAGCAATAAACATAAGGGTGCATCTGTCTTTTTCAAACTGGAGTGCTGCATTCTTAGGGTAAATTCCTAGAAGTGGAATTCCTGGGTCAAATGGTATTTCTATTTTGAGCATTCTGAGGAACCTCCATACTGCTTTCCACAATGGTTGAACTAGTTTACATTCCCACCAGCAGTGTAGGAGGGTTCCCCTTTCTCCACAACCTCGCCAACATTTGTTGTCTTTTCAATGATGGTGATCCTTACTGGTGTGAGGTGATATCTCATTGTTTTAATTTGCATTTCTCTGATGATTATCTTTTCATGTGCCTATTGGCCATCTGGATTTCTTCTTTAGAGAACTGTCTATTCAGCTCCTCTGCACATTTTTTAATTGGATTATTTGCTTTTTGTTGAGGCGTGTAAGCTCTTTATATATTTTGGATGTAAGACATAATTTTTATGGAAGAATCAAGAAACATCCTACCACCTAGGTTTCCAACTCCCAAGGTTGTTTGCCATCTAGATTCAACAAATGCAGATGGCTTACTTTCACAATTATTATTATGACCTAAATTACCAGACCTCTGAGCAGAAGACTGCCCCCCCACTTCAAGATAATCGCCTTCTCTTGAGGCTGTGATAAGGCAATAAGCTTCAAATCTGGGGATGTGGGAATGGATCATTTTTAAGAGAACTATCAGACATTACAATTCCTTCTATAGCTGGTGTGCCTAAGGACCAACCTGTAGTGAAAGCTTCAAGCCTGTTTCATCACCATCTCCCCTTTTATGACCACCCTTCTCCCACATGAGCAAAGGTGTACTCACCCATCCAGAATGCATGACAGGACAAAAACCAAAATCAAAATACAAAATCCATGTTATAACAATTCCTTTGCCTGTCAGGTGATTATGAACTGTTTTCAATAAAATTGGAGGACTATCAGTTGATAAAAATGGAAGTAAAACTGGTAAACCCAGACTTATTCGCCCTTGGCAACAAAAGCTAATTTGGAAGAAAACTGCTCTACCTCACTGATGCACCTCTAGTTACCAAAACATGTAGCCTACTTGCCTTCAGGGTTCTGCCACACAAGCATGAAAAGCTGAGTAGAATGAAGTATAAAACAGTATACCAAAAAAGGATATAAAACTTGCAACTATTAGGCATTTTTAAAAATGGATTATCCCCAACAGATTCCATTAGTAAGTTTAATTCATTCAGAATTATCTTTGCAGGTATTTCAACATGATGAAAATAATCTACTTTGAAATTTGAGGGGGTATGTCAAGATGTTTAGGGGACATGAGCTTTAAGTCTGAGGACAATTTAGTATGCTGTGCCTAGAGAACTGGGCTGAAATTCCTCATTAAAATGATTCGAGTAATGAAGGTGTAAGTATGAGACAAGTGATTTTGCTTGTTACTGACAGCTAGTTTCAGGTATCTACTTCTATGTCCCATGATAACCAATCACCTTTGACTCTTAATAGCAAAAGGAATCCCTTGAAGCCCCAAAGTGCCAAATAGAACAACCATAACATCTAATATGAGTTCAACCTGTTAGATTCCATCCAAAATGAGTGAAGTGCCCAGAAGAACCATCAAGCATAAATTTCCCCACAGGGGGAATTTTATTGATGGCACTAGTTTATTCCCCTCCCAAAAGGCCAACTGCAACCAAATGAAGTGAAATAACATAACCTCATAATTTTATGGTCTTATGGTTTTATAATTTTATGAAGCTTAGAACTGGATCACTTGGCCCTGTAATAGAACAGAAAAAGAAAAGGTGAGTTTTTATATTTTGCAATGAATCCCAATGCTATCAAGAACAGTGCCTATTCCTAAAGGATCACCATCCTTTATTACAGCAAGTCTCATTCTCCCTTTCCTACTCATTGCAAAACCACACCAAAAACCTTATACTTTCAGCTATGATTAAGTTATTTTGAAAGGATGGTCCCTTATCTTGATGCCAGAATAAGTGAGTAGAAAGAAAGAGTAACCTCTCCAATATAATAAAGCAAGAAAAAATATGGCATCTTCTGCCCATAATTATATACCTTTCTCTTCTTATTTTCCCCCAATTCAAAATGTTTGCATCTCCTAATAGCCAGCATTCTCTTAGATCTGCAGTTGGGCTCAACACATTCAAGCCTCAGCACAATCTTCTTTGTAGTTTTAGCCTGGAAAAAAAATTAAGTCAAAACCTTCACAAACTACTGCAAAAAACCTTTCTTCAAAAATATGACTATCTTGGATTAGGTACTACTTAAAATAATAGAGTTGTGACAGTCTGTATTTAGCTATAGGGAGAAAACAATGTTGAAGAAATGTGAAAATTGGTGGATTCAAGAGAAAATGTAATAGCAGAGGTAGTTTTTTTTAAATCTAATTTTTAAGTCTGGTCCTATGGTCAGAACTGTACTGCTGCTGGTTAGCAGTTCTCAAAGCAAAAACCTGGCTAGAATCTCCCCATCTTCTATTAGTTACCCAAATGTGAAATGTCAATTAAAAAATCAAGCATTCTTTTTACCACCTTGAAATCAAACCATTTATTGTGTCTAAATGGACACTAAAGCCATTCCTTAACACTCCACGGAACCAGTGGAATAAGGAGCCAAGTGCCAGAGAAACCCTGTTTGTGGGAATGCTACCTTCCAGGCACTGTGTACTTTAAGCGGTAGCCAAATCACCTGGGGGTGTAACAGAAACTGGTTTGGCCTGAGAATGACATATTCCAGGAGACCAGTGGAAGGCCTAAATGGCAATTTTAAAGAGCGTTAAGACTTCATGATAGGTAGACTGACTGCAGGTTTCTGTGCTGAGAAGCAAAGAATTCTTACTGCAGGCAAGAGCTGAGGATTCACTAGCACGATGACAGGGAACAGTAAAAGGAAAAATTTACTGGTATACTCAAACTTCAACCTTTAGAAATGCAGGACACATTCCTTAACTTGATGTTTGCCTCTTCAAAAAGGGAAAGTCAAAAAATATAAAGCACTGAGATAGTGCACTATTGTAAACCAGAGTTAGACCTGGCTTGCACTCCCAGCTCCATTGCCCACTAGATATCACTGCAGGTAATTGAGGTAACTTTGCTGAAACTATGAAGACACATACCTATATTGTAGAAGTGTGTGGGTTAGATACAAATGCCAAGTTCTCTACCAGTTAAGTGGGAAGCATGTCAAATAGGAATTACTACTAACCTTTTTCTGGAAAATCGGCTTAGTCTGTCCACCATAGCCACTCTGCTTCCTGTCATAACGCCGCTTTCCTGGGAGAAGAAAAAGTTATTTGCTAGGGTATACCCAGGATAATAAATCACAACAGCCCCTTGGAAGCCTTACAGCTTTTATTCTGGGCTTTCTAGCACAAACAGCAACGCCAAAGCCGGGATGGGTGCATACTGGGCTCGTATAATAGACGAATGTCACATTAAAACCCAATTACAAACTGTCTTACCCTGGGCATACAGACTCCTTGCCCTTCTTATACTGTGTGACTTTATGGGGCTGGTGCTTTGCCACACTTTCATAAAGTCCGGCGGGTTTTAGGAATATTCACCTAGTAAATCGTTCAGAAAATGCAGTGTTATCAGATGCCAAAGGTACGATACGCTACGCGACCCAGCTAAAGCTAAGGCACCCCATGAGGACTCGGCTCTCGAACTCCTCGCCGACAATGCTCTGAGGAGAAGGTGGTCAGCCCCATGTTCTTCAAGTACAGCGGCCTCTGTCCAGCCACAGAGTGGAAGGAGCATATTCACTCCACCCTGGCTAAATCTACCTCTTCGATACCATCACTTCACTTCCTGGCCCTGAAGCCCGATCCCTTCGGGATCGATCCCGGCAACACTAAGTTATAAGTTAGTTTGGTACAACGAATCCATGCAGGGGCCTGGGCCCATCCTGGGACGGCACCCCCAATGGAGGTGAGAAGATTAAACTGGCTGCTGCCGGGTCCCCACCCTAAGATCCTACGAGGCTTGCGAGAACGCTATCCGCATGGAAAGACAGAGGCTGGACCGGAATCGAAAATATATAGGAGGTTCCCGGTCGCGCTTCCTCATGGGAGTAGGCGGGAGCGACCATAGAGTCTAAGGCTCTGTGCGCAGCGCCCTCTGGCGGCTGAGAGGACTCGATTCGGAGCCTCACATGAGAGTTTAAGAGCTCAGCATCCATCTACTCTCCACCCGCCCCGCAGCTTTGCAACATTTCCTCTCTTCATCACTTTTGGCAGGTGCTGCTATGTAGCAGCGTTAAGTGAAGGAAGCAGTGCTCTTTCCAGATCCTCTGGCTTCCCTGTTCCGATCACCGAGGGAAGCCAGGATTAGAGTCAAGCGGAGGAGTCCTCCACCTCCATGTTCCATTTCTGTTTCACCTCAAAGACACTGGGAACATCTTTAGCCAACTCTCTGCTGGTTCACTGAAGGCTTGGAGGGAGGCATTATTCGAATTCATCTGTCACATGGCTGACTAGTCCATTCAACAAATGTTTATTGAACGCCTATTCTGTGTTGGACACTGTTGTAGGGGAGGAATGCAATGATCAAATCATGCTCATAAACACATAATTATAGACTGTACTTTGTGAAAAAGGAACAATGATCAGCATTAAAACAGAACCCTTTTATTGATGGAGCGAGTTGGCTGACCTAGATTCTGAAAAGTGAGGGTGAGATTGTTCAGCTCCTGCAGTAGCAAGAACAGGCCACAATATAGAAAGTATCCAGCAGCTCTTGCCTCCCCTGCATACCTTGCAGAAGGCATGTGCTAGATTTCAAGAGAATCCAGCAGAGAAGGACTGCAGGGTACTGAGTACACAAAATAGATTGTCTCATAAAATTCTCACAATAATTTGAGGTAAGTGGTAATATCATTCCCATTTTACAGATGAGGAAATTGAGGCTGTAAGGATGTTAAACAATTTGCCCCATGTTGATAGTATCTAAGTGGAACCAGGATGCAAACACAGATGATCTGATTCCAGAGCCTGTATTACTTACCTTTATACAATATGGTTTTTGTGGCCTAGTAATTATAATAGCTAACAATTATTGAACACTTACCACGTGTCAGACATTTTCCTAACCACCCAACATACTACCTCTTTTAATGCTAACAACTCAGGCAGTATGTGCCATTATTAGTATTTAACAGGTGAGGAAACTAAGTACAACAGGCATTAAATTCACTTGCCCAAAGTCACATAGGTGGTTATTTTGTGGAGCTGGAATTTGATGCCCAGTAGTCTAACACCGCAGCCTTGCATTTAACCGTAACTCCACACAGGGGAAACAGGAGCATCATCAAGGTAGAAGATGATGAGGAGAGAGAATTGGGTGGGGATGCAGGAGGAGGTGCCCATGGATTAGGGGCTAAGAAACTATGATAACCTGGGGTCTCCTGCTTGCATAACCCTCCAGGAACACTCAGAGGTCTGGAGCTGACTCTCTGATTATCCCCTTTTGGTTGGGCAATTGCTGGGAATGAGATACTAAAAACATCGCTACTACCAGCTACATTTCCTAAAAGTTTCTTTGCCAAACAGCCAGCCCATAGGCTCACTGCATTTTCTTCTTCTTGCCAGGCTTTTAAGAAGTCTCACTGGCCTTTAAGGAGTTCCCAGATGTGTTGATGTTAGTAACATGGAAGAATAAAGACAGTGGACATGGCCCCTCTTAATCAACTATAGTTCTATCACACCTTGTGTGACATGGCTTTGGTTTTGATTCCTTTCACCAGTCCTGGTCTCTGTTTTGGACTTGCTCCTGTTCATTAATTTCCTTGAAGATAAGGCACACACAACTGAACACAGGAGTCTAGATATGGGCTGGCCTTGCAAAGTAGGTGGCCTGTTTACTTTCCTCCATCTAGATATCTTACTAGTATGAGGAAACCTAATGTCACTCTGGATTTTCTGGCATCCACATTACTGGCATGACATTTCTGTTGATTATTATCAGCCCAAACCGCTGAACCATTTTCACACATGTTCCTGCTATCCCACTTTCACCTGGAGTCCTTTGAAGTTCACTGTCAGTGCCCAGTTATGGGACATGACCCTACCACTGGTAAAATAAATTTTGTTAAAGCTGACTTCTCATACCAGGTGATCCAGCTCTTTCTGGAAACTGATTGCTCTTCTGTCATCCAATCTAGCTCACGATAGCCTTGCACCGTTCACAGATTAGCTAGGCTACTTTCTATATCTTTCTGAAAGGTCGTTAATAAAAGGATGAACAGGATATCACCAAGAACAGAACCTTATATTACTACATTGGGAATCTTTTGAGGTGACACCAGGCCATTCATTTGCACTCTTTGGGTGCAGACCATCTGTCCTCTAGATAAGTGTGTTAGGGGAGTGCTCTTGGGCAGAAGGTACAAAAGTACCTAGGTTAACTTTACCTTTCCCTTGTCCCGATCTCCCATTGTATACCTATTAATTTCCAGTTTTCCCCCAAGGTGGACCTTGAGAAGGGGCAGGACATGCAACAGTAAGCAGCATCTGATTCTAGGAAAGAGGAGGGAATAATGTGACTGACTCTCCGGCAGGTGACTAGAGCCGCTGTTCTGGGGTGACGAGTGATAAGATAGACACTGTCCATAAAATAGGGAGACATTTGCAACACTTTTTGCCCACTTGTCTTGTGCAGATATCTGTGAGAATTAACCAACCACTCTGCTATCCTACAAAATGCTTTTTAAAAAAGTTCTGTTGCCTTAAAACTTCTGATGGACTTCTAAAGAGATCTGTGATCTCCCCTACATTAGGATACAGTGCCTGGGGCAAGTAAAGAAAACCTTGCCTGCTGTGTCAAGGTGGGCAAGCAAATCAGTTACCTGGGGCTTTGCTGCCACCCTGGTCTGCAGCCAGTACTGCCTGCATTTCCTAGGAGAATCTTTTGGGAGAAGATTGGTGCTAGAACTTAGGCTAGGAAGTGTCTGAGGAAACATTCAGGAGTAAGACACCTAGCCTGGTTTATCGCTTTACAGGTTAAAGAGGAAGGTGTAAATTGAGTTAATCCCTGATATCTATCTTAAATGGAGAAAATCAACATCATCAGAAAATGGGGAAGAGCACAAGTCTTTATGTGGGCTTACATCCAGACATTTTTATCTGTAGAAACAAATGCTTTCTTAGAAAATGACTCAGCAGGGGGGAGTCTTGTCTTTACCTTTGTCAGGCTCAGTACTTTGGGGTCCCTTTCTTAACACTGCACTTTCACTATCAAGTTTAACTGTGTGACCTTGAGTCCCCTCTGCCTTAGAGGACATGAGACTCCAAAGACATGGTTCTTTGTTAATCCCTTTGTTTTATCTTTGCAAGACTGCATTTCTCCTCTTACCTGTAAGTCTCCCCTCCCTCTGCTGACCATGCCCCAGTCCTTCAGGTGTGCATCCCTTTACCTTGGAGAGGTCAGTCTGATGATCTGTCTGCTCAGCCCAGCCCTGTTTAGAGTCCCAGTGGCCCCAGAAACGTTGAGAGGGTTCTTTCACAGCAGTCTCAAGATAGTAGTGTCAGAGGTCCCAAGCAAATGAAGGGCGGGGACAGCTGGGGGTGGGGGGAATAGGGAGAGCAGCAGGGAGTCAGATACTAGGCTGCTGAGAAGAAGAAAAAAAAAGACATTGGTTTAAGTCAGGAAACAAAAAAAGGGAACTGAGTGGCTGTGAAAGGGTGGGGTTTGCTCAGACTGTCCTTCCTCTCTGGACTGTAAGAATATGTCTCCAGGGCCAGTGTCTTCTGAGATCGAGTCCCACCTTCAAAGTCCTGGCATCTCAATGCATCTGGGAAGCTACCTGCATTAAGTCAGGACTGAGGTGGGTCTGGGGCGTGGCAGGGGCTGGGCAGCAGCAGCAAGTACCTTTCGTGGGACACTTGAAGGCCAGAGAGAAAGCATGGCTGGTGCCAAATAGTCTGCTGGTGGAGGAGGCTGACCAAGGGTGGGAGTGTCACCAGCACAAGGCCCTGGCAGTCCCTTCTGATGATCAGAAGAGGTTGTGAGGGTCCTTTCTGAAGAGGGTTGTGTGGGGGACAAAAAAGAGGGAAAAGTGACATGAAGTGACCATCTCAACAGGTAGCAAATATTAGAAAGGGGCACTTCTGCAAAACTTGCCAGAAAAGTAATATTGCTGGTGGCAGGAGGCTAGAAATAAGCCCTTTGGCATAATATTGCTTGAAGACCTAAAAGACATACTTGTGTCGATGAGGCTCTTAGAAGAAATTCTAAGAGGCAGATTGTCTGAGAAAATGGTAAAAGCTCACAAGCCACAACAGGTTGTTGACCTTTGTGAGCTGGGGAAAGGTACCGCCAAACCTGGGTGTAGGCCACCTTCTTTGGGTGGCACCAGGCCAGTGTTGCCAGAGGCAGTGCAGCTTGTTGGAAGGACTGTGTAAGCGAACCGCATGGTAATAGTGGGTAAGAGATTGGGCCAGAAGAAAGCAGCCTCAGCCTCAGCCTCAGCCCAGACAATGTGGCCAACCCCTGAGATCTTGGGGAAGGTTTTTCCTATTACCGTTGCCTGCCATGTGCACAGCTTTCTTTTCTCCTGTCGTCAGCATTTCTCCTCTCCTTTCCTCTCTCCTCCTCTCCATTCCCCTCCACCTCTTTCTCCTCCTTTCTTGACCTGTATACCCTCCTTTATTTTGTTCATTGCTACATCCCCTGGAACAGAGAGTGCTTAATAAATAATTGGTGGATTGCATTGAATTTTTCTTGCCCCTTTCTGCCCCTGCTCCTTCCCTTTCTCCCACTTGCCATGTACCTTTCCCACAGGACTGTTGTGAGCAATGTGTTCACACACATAAAGCAGTTAAAACAAGGCCTGACGATAGTAAGTGCTAATATCTCAGTGTTCGCTATTATGTTTATTCTGCCTGAGACCTGCCAGTGTCCCCAGAGGGCCTGCCTAGAGCAAATTGTGTGACACTTAGACTAAAAGAGATGGCTGGCCCTGATCAAGACATCCTTGGGTGAGATGCTAGTCCTCCAAATTGAATCTGGGCCCAATTTCCTGGCCACCCAGCTCTCCAAGCTCCAAGTCTCTACCCCATGCAGTGCGTTTCCAGATGCAGGGCAGCAGCAGGAGTTTATAAAGGTCAGGGGCTGCCGTCTGTGCTGTTGGTTGTGTGCTAGTTCTCCTTCCCTCATTTTGCATGCCAAGCCCCTCAACCAAAGGTGCTGCAGCCACTCTGGAGCCTCAGTTATTTGATAAAACAATGCCATCCTCTAAATAAACCACAAAATGCAAATACTCCTGGAACCTAAAGCATTCTATCAAAACAGTATCCCTTCGGGCTAGCCCTGTCTCCTCCATTCTGACCTCTTTTATATTCAGACTATTTAAATTACCTACTTGTGTTAAAGTCCAAATGCCTGTTGCTTATGGCTAGTAATGCATTTGTCTGAACTCCTTGTGGTGAGAACTAGTGCAATTTTCCATCCACTTCTAGGGTAGAGGTGCAATTTTAAATGATCATCACTCTGATTTACTATTTCCATTTGAGCAAATTTCCTATACAGAGTTTCCTTTCAGCGGACTAGACGCATACCAGGAAGTGACTTAGGTGTAAGGGGAAGACATGGCTTTTGAAACCCAGTTTGGGTATCTCTAAAGAGTCATCCTACCTGCTGTTTTTCACCCAAGGATGCCATGCCCGAATCTGACTAGCAACTCCTGGGAACAAGGGAGACCTAGAATTTTCAGAGACGGTGCTCCGTAAGAGCTAGAAACCAGACCTTGACCTAATTCACACCAAAGCTACTTGGTTATGCAAATGAAGCCATCAGGGGAGAGGGAGAGAGAATCCCTTTGAGGACCCTGAAACAAATGGGCCATGTGTGACTTTCAGTTTCTATGGAGGTTCATGTGCACTGAGGGTATTTGGAGAGCATGCATGGAAAACACAAAAGTCTTAATCCCAGGCTTTCTTTCTCACCCTCTGAGAGCCATCGCCAGATGCCCTTGGGGTTAATGTTGGTTATCTGAACCTCAAGAAGTTCATCTCACTGCCTTTTCTCCTGGAAACAAAAATGAACTATTTTCTATTAGCTGATCCCCAAAAGAAGGAAATTCTAAGGAGTCAAAAAAGTTAAATTTTAGACAAGTTGGATGTTGGAATATACTGGAGTTCAAGATCACTGGCTCAATGAAAAAACAGATTAGTCTGCAGTAAAAAACTGATTAGAAGTGAAGCAGAAAAGAGATAAAGGTGTGGGGAAAGCAGGCTCTCAAGCTGCTCTTTGGAGTGGAAATTGGTACAGTGTTTCTGGAAACGATTTTGTCACTATCTTTCAAAATGCAAAATGCACATACTTTTGACTTGGGAAATGATGCTTAGTTGGAGATCCTAATATCATGGGAAAATAATCAGGAATAATGTTAAACAAGAACTTCAGATTTTTTTTGGGAAAAGGTGTGTTAGATGGATGGATAGATGATTTTGATATCAAAGGAAAAATCGATAAAATACTTAAAACCAGGGAAAACAAAAACTAAAGTGAAAAAAGAAGACCAAAGGGGCACACAAGTCCAGAGGGAAAAATGGACACCCCAGCAGTCACCCTCAGGGCAAAGGGACAATGCTGAAAGTATTACCACCAACCTGATGCTGAGTGTAAACTTCAGATTGGCTATCTGGCTCTCTTTAATCATCACTTGGCCAGAATCTATTGTCTCGAGGACAGGGCAGAAGAAATGACAAATCACAAAGACCCAGAAGCTTCCAGAAACACAGAAGAAAAATGTAAAATGTTAACAACGTGAAATGCTGAAGAAGAACCAAAGCCCCGGGACCTCTTGGAAATGAATACAGCAGATGAACATTTCCTGATTAAGATGCAGCCAGTAAGCTGATTTTGGATGGAAGTCTTCATACAAATTTGATCACCTGCAGTGCTGACCTTAAAGCTTATCACCAAATAATTGGGTTTCATTGAGGCCTGAATACAGTGTCATGGAACCTAACAAGAGTAATTAGGTGTCTTTGCTCCTGTGATTATGTTATGATATTTTAAAGACTTCATTCCTGTTCCCAAGGCCAGGGAATTCTCAATGAAAATCTCCATCAGAACCTGAGAAATGCTTCTTGGGACTGAGAAAAGATATTTTGGTAGGCCAAATTTAACCCACCCTATATCCCCTGCTCTAATTAGAGGCAGTTGTTAATTCTACCAGATTTCATGGTAAAGCATCAGCAAGCTAGGACTGAAAAGGGGACAAGGGAGAACACCAAGTGCATAGTCCAACAGAAATGCCAGATCCAGGTGTGCCCACTGGAGTACTGCAAATTCATCCTGAGAGTGGGAACTATGGTCACATATACAAGCATTATTGTCAGTTGAAAACTAGTGACCTGAACATCCATGGGCAATGGGTTAAGTGTGATGTATTCATAATGTAGAATACTTTTTTATGCCCATAAAAATGAATTGAAATGTATGAACTAGAGCTACCAAGATAAATAAATCATGAAACATTATGTTGAGGAAAAAGCAAGTTGCTGAAGAATATATACCACTTTATATAAAAATGTATAACATGCACACCAATACTCAACATCTTTAATGGATACTTACATATGTAGTAATGATATAAAAACATACCTAGGAAAGATAAACACCAAACTCAAAATATTGGTAACCTCTGAGGAGGGAGGAGACTGTGGAGTATACAAGGAGGTTTTGACTCTATGGAGAGTATTCTATTTCTAACAAAAAACACCAGAAGCAGTTATAGCTCTGTTGGAATTCTATAGAGCTAAGTGGTGGGTACATGAGTGTAATTTTATTCTCTGTACTTTGTCTATTGTAATATTTTCTAATATAAAAGAAAGTGTTTTCAATTAAAGTTTTATATTGACAGTAGGCAATTACAACCTTATGGACAAAGAGCGGATGTTTCACCTAAACCCTGTACTTTTATCCCATGAACAATGACAAATCCTGACAAGGAGACAGCAAGTAATTTTAGGAATCCAACAGTGAGGATGTCCTTGAGGAAGATCCAAAAGGATAATGTAAGAAAACCTGGTGGGACTGAGAAGAGTCCTCGTGTGGGAAAAAGTACAGTTGACAGGTAACAGGGACAAATCATCCTTTCCAGCCTGGAGGAATATTACAGAGGAAAGTGCTACAGGATCCTGACTTCTCTCTTATCCTCTCTACTTCCCACCATTTTCTCTTTTGCCAAATGTTCCTGCAAGGGGCAGAGATGTCTTCCCTGACTTCTCTTTGATGACAGCCAAGGGAATGACAGGGTACTGAGGTGGAGGGCATCACCTCACTGAAGGCCAGAAAAAAAAAGAGCTCTCTCTGGGCAGCAATGAGGTAGGTACCCCAGACACAGCAAGGGCTGTGGGATCACAGATGGGGTGAGGTTAGGCAAATCATAGTCTTGCTTTCCTCATCTGTTTGTTCTGAGGAATAAAGTGAGAGAAACAGGAGCTCCTTTCTCTTCCCCTGGGTAGAAAAGGGAGTAGGCAGAATCTTGCTGGGTAATTTAGTGATGCTTTAAAGAAGAAATAAAAATGGTGCTTCTTGGATATTCTGGCTAAGTAGTTATTTGAACTATGACTGTCCAGTTCTTTCTAACTAGCATCTCCTGAACTCTCTCCCATCAGAGACAGGCTGTGTAGTTTTCTGAATGTTGCTATGGTGTGCTCCCTAATCATGCTTTATCTTAGCATTAGCAAAGATAGGAACCCAAAGTGGCTTAGTTTACTGATTCTGCAAGTGCTATATATCTTAATTCCTTGACACAATGCAGTTTATAAGATGGCTGAACTCTTACTAACAAGCATCCTGATTCTGAATTCTGCTGCTCCAAAGGGAGATGGGAGGCAGCCATAAGGGGCCACATGTAAATCTTTGCATTTGTTCTTTAATGAAGAGAACATTATGATGCAGGAATTCTATATTTTAAATGAAGAGCTCTGTGTCTACTACTTTCTCCTGTCCTCTTTTTTTCTCTATATGAACAACAGTGTGTGTGTGTGTGTGTGTGTGTGTGTGTGTGTGTTGGGGTGGGGGAGGGGTGACTTTCATGTCACTTCCGTTTCTACCCCCACCCCTATCCCCTGAGGTGTAGGGTCAGCCCTCACAGTGCATCTTTTGTGGTTGAATTGACTCTGTGTGTTGCTGAAATTGTTAGAAAAAAATTAGGACCTTCACAATAAATACCCAAAGAAGCTGCAACTACCCTCTACTGACAAGTGTCCATTACACACAAACCTTTAGGCAGACATAAAGATGGATGCCTTTCCTTTTACATTATTGGTGGACGGACCAATGGTAACTAGGGAAGATCTTCCACATTTTCAGGCTGTGTGTGTCTGGACTGGATCACAAGGGATAGGGAAAGCCGTCAAAGAAGAGACAGTCAGGCCATGGAAATCCTGGTAATCCTCCAGCTCAATGATCTCAAGATAAAGGGCATTTCAACCCTTGCTCAGAGGGGCGATGTCTAGTGAAAGGCTTACTTACTTCCTCCTACTTAGACCAATACTAAACCCTATGCCAACACGGACGCTTGAAAGACAGAAAGGCTTCCTCTTGTACAAACTGGATTTGTTCTAAAAAAGAAAGAGAGCAGAGGGACCTGCTTTTTGGGAAAAAAGAGCAGAGGCCAAGACTGGAGCAGATTTTGGGTCTGAGCAGGGGGTACTTCCACCAGGAGCTTGCAATACAGCTAAAGGTAAAATGACGAGGGTGCTTTACAGCTGGACATGGTCCGTCGGTATGCGTTCTCGGTGAGTTAGCAATTCAATGGTCATGCTATTCCATTTTTTCAAGGTTTTATTTTGTCTTCTATAATCTGAGTCTTTGTGAAGAGGTACTTAAGTGGAATTCACCATGGGAATCGATGTGATATAATTACAGGGTTCTCGGTGAGTTAGCAGTTCCTGAGAATGGAGTGTATTATTTGGTTACTACTACTTCTGGGTATGAATAATCTTAATGGTAAAAGAAATCTCTTTGGGGTTTGAGCTAAATCTGAATGTTAGAAAGGACTCTAGTTGGTTGTGAACTCTTACTGGTTGGTTACTCCTGGGAGAGACCATTTAAGCCAGGGCATCATGGAAGAGAGCTGTGTGGCAGGGTGTGGGGAAAGATCTGCTCCTTTGGCCAGTTTTTTCTCAAAAGATCATTTACAGATGATTGAACTAACCCACCACCAGAAGACAGTGGCATCCACAGGGTAGATAAGTGGCAAAATGATCACTGGGAATGCCTGAACATCCCTGGCATTCCTTTAATCTATTTTTGACTCCCCTGTATGAAAATACAACCCTCTACATCACTGGAAAGAGTAAAATAGCAAGCGGTGTGGATAGCTTCAGGCCTGGATAAAAACCACTCACTTGCTTTCATGGTGTGAGCAATAATCTGTGTTTGACAAGCAGGATAAAACTGCTGATTTTATTTATTCTGCTTCCCTAGTGCCATCCAAAGCATTAAGAGTTTTGTTAAAAAAAAATCCTACCACCTTAGGAAAGAGCCCACCTTTTACAAAACTTGAGGGGGGACTGGTGATTTATTCAGTATTTACCTTGGGCTCCATTTTTGTGACTTGACTATTATATTTTCACTTTATCTTTCTGATGATGGTTTGGAATTAGTAATGTAAGATCATGGATAAACTTTAAGTGAATAACTGAAAGGAAGTGTGTTTTGTGTGAATAAAAAAAAAACCAATGGTGACTGTTTGTAACTCTCCTTACCTTTCTGTATTTCAGTTACCTAAACTGAATCTTTCTGGAGTACTGTAGGTGTGGACAGGCTAAACAAGTTACTTTTCATAAATGACCAGAAATGGCATCCACAAGACTAAAACAGTTGCATCACTTTTGCATGATGCTGTCCGAAAAACTAATCTAAGCAAAAAGAAGAAAAGCCAAAAAACAAAACAACTCCCTCCCTCCCTCCCAAAAAATTGTTTTGCAGTTTTAGAACACAGCTTCTGTCCTTTGTAGCTCAGCCAGTGGTTGATGGGCAAAATCAGTTGGGTGGCAGTTAGTATATGGCCATAACTGCAGGTGCAGCCTCTATATCCTTATTAGACCCCTTGGTTACAGACCCCAGTGGGACAATGTTTGAAAAATTACATTCACTGTCTAGGAAACTGGGAACTGAAAGTCCAATGTCTGCCTCAGTGGAGTTCTGGCACCTGCATTTTCCCTTTTGGGGATACCAAGGTCAACAGCTGCACAGTCTTCTACTGTTCATAGATTCTGCACTTATCATGAAATGATGGTTAATATCAAGGTGCCTGTAGACATTACCAAGCACACAAGTACATGTCACTTGACATCCAGAGCATTCCATTGCCTTACACAAGAATCCAGTTTACGTGAACTCACAGTGTAGAACCAATCCCCCAATTCAATGTGCATCCGTTATACCTGAAAACTGACAGAGATGGGGAGTGCGGAAGGAGGACGTCAAGGTAGGAGGAAAGCCCTTCGTTAGCTTTGCACGTTTCTGTTCCATAGGTGGCCAGGCTGAGGGGGAACCAGGAGGGATGAGGTTTAATGTGCTGGGTCCTCAAAAACTTTCAATATCAACAGCACACAGTGAGCTCCAGAAAGAAGAAGCTATGGCTGCAGTGATACTGGAGAGCATCTTTCTGAAGCGATCCCAGCAGAAAAAGAAAACATCCCCTTTAAACTTCAAGAAACGCCTCTTTCTCTTGACTGTGCAAAAACTTTCCTACTACGAGTATGACTTTGAACGTGGGGTAAGTTTTTCTGCTATGAAACCTGACTAACAAGGAGTTGGCCTTAGATCTTCCTTGAGGAAGAGGTAGATAGATCCTTTTTGTTTGGAGAAGGGAGGGGTAAGGGACCTAAGTACATTTCAAACTCAAAGTGTTTCCTAGCTTAGAACTAGTGACAGCCATGCTGGAGCAAAAATTCAAAGGTGCTAAGAAGCCATGGGGGAAACCTTGCCACAGAATCTTGCGGTTGGTGAGCATTCATTAAATGATTGCTGAAAATGAAATCCAAGACTTAGAAACTGCTTCCTTATTTTTTATTGTAAAGGCACACAGTTATCAACTCTTCCGTAGTATTTGTCCTCCATCTGGTAGTCAGAAAAGGTTAGATCAATAGATATGGAAGTTGTTTTTTTTAAAAAATTACAGGTCCTGATGTAGAGTGTGAGTGTCAACCTCAGTATTTGGAATGATTAGATAACAAAATCTAATCATTCTGTTGCTTAAACATTCTTAATCTTTCTCCATTTTCTTCGTCATTCTCTTTCTCAGAGAAGAGGCAGTAAGAAGGGTTCAATAGATGTTGAGAAGATCACCTGCGTTGAAACAGTGGTTCCTGAAAAAAATCCTCCCCCTGAAAGACAGATTCCGGTAAGACCAGATCATTGTCAGAGAAGGGGTGGGGCAGTAAGGAAACTTGGAACACTTCAATTTTCTGCAAACTGTTGATGCTGTGCAATGTGAAACACAGTAAAGCTTGCTTATAAAATTCTTCACTCTGCCATGTATTGGTTATCTCTAGTCTCAGCATCTTTCCCCCAGGTACAGAACAAGTCACTTAACCTGTAAAACTTGTTAATGTCAATTTTAAGATGGTACCGTAACAAGTTTTCAGATTGATCAGAGATGATTGTACTAAGTTATCAGAATCAGACATACAGGCTTGAGTGAGTCTGAAAGCCAGAATCCAAGGGTCCTGAGTCATATGAGATTCTTTAATAGCTCACTCTTTCTCATTTCCCAGAGCCTCTCCAGGGCATAACATCTATTGACCTCTGAGTTGGTTTTTTAAAATATAATTTATTATTATTTTTCTGACCATAAGAGTAATGTATATTTATTATAGAAACTCTAGAAAATATTTAAAGAGCACAGAAAAGATGATAGAATCATGCATAATCCCATTATCCACCTAAAGTAACTAATAATATGTTGGTGTATGGACTTGCAGATGTTTTTCTCCATTAACATATATACTTAAAGTAATATTTATGCTATATATTTAAAACATAGAATCATGTTACACACCTTGCTTTGTAACCCGCTTTTGAATTTAACAATATATGAAAACATCCCCCATGATAATAGATAACATGGTTTTAATTACTGCATAGTATTCTCTATCACTGATATATTGTAATTTGTTTAGTCCATCTCCTATTACTCTACATTTATTTCCAATTGCTTGATATTATAAACCATGTTCACAGGAATAATCTTTTCCTTATAATAACTTCCTTATAATAACTTCCTAGAAGTAAAATTTTGTTCTTCTTTTTATGGCATACATACATTTTTTTATCTTCTTATTCCTTTATTTTTTAGAAGTAGAATTTGAATTTCATATACTCCTACAAGCTGTGTATGAGAGTACCTATTTCTCTACATCCTTTCTAGTACCAGATATTTTAAATTTGTTGTCAGTTTGATATTTGTTGATTTTTGTTACTTGTTATTTGACATTTGTTGACAGCCAAGAAAAATGACATTGCATTGCTGACTTATTTTGCAATTATTTTTGTTATTCATAAGGTTAAATGATTATGTCTATAACTCAGTTATATTTCTCCATTTGTGAACTGCTTGTAAATTTTTTTTGCCCACTTTTCTATTGAAATGTTTGCCTTATTCCTAGTACTTTTTAAGGGATCCACATATATTAAGAATATTAATCCTTTAGTAACATATGTTGAAAAAATTTTTGCTGGTTTTTCATTTATCTTTGAATTTTGTTTATAGTATTATTTACCATACCAGGTTTTAAAGTCTGTCATCAAATTTTTGTCTTTTTCTTAGTGGTCCTAACCTTTATCATTATATTACAAAGGCCTTGTTTCCCACAAGATTTTACAAATAGTCAACTTATGTTTTTTTCTCATTCTGTAGTTTCATTTTTTTTTTGTATTAAGCTCTTGAATTCATCCAGAATTTGCTTTGGTGCATGGTGTGAGATAGCTACCTAACCCCCACACCCACCTCTAGTATTAGTGGTTGGTTAAATGTTTGTCCCAGCACCATGTATTGAGAAACCTCAGTTTCCTCAATGAGTTGAAATGTCTGAGATTTTTTATGTGCTGGATCCTATGGATATGTGTCCCTTCTGGGTTACAGGAAGAAACCACTAAGAATTAGCACTGCTGCAAAAGAGCCTTCTGGAGCCTCTGCAAAGGACTCCTAGTACCTAAGGAAATGCAGAAAAGGGAACAAATCAACTAACAACCATGTTTTCCTCTTCTTTCATTGCAGAGAAGGGGTGAAGAGTCCAGTGAAATGGAGCAGATTTCAATCATTGAAAGGTTCCCTTATCCCTTCCAGGTGAGATACTTTTTCTCACCAGCTCCTAAATGGCCCTGCAATGTAATTAGTAGGGATGGGGTTCAGGGCACAGGGAAGGATACTAGGTCCCAGTGAACAGAAGTTGAAGTAGACGAAGCTGGGCCAAGAAATGAGGCTGGCATGGACTAAGAGTGTTTGCTTTTCTATTTTCCTAACCTAGTGTCGTTTAGTCTGTATACCTCAAAGAGAATCCATAATGGCACTAATTCTATTGTGGTGTGTCTTGTCTATGGGAACTGCATTGAGAAAGATGTTCTGTTTGTTGAGTGAGCATTTCACTTCCTTCTGGTTCTGCCTATCTGTCTAATGGTGGTCATGTGGGTTGAAAAGACAGAAAAGGGGAGGGAAGGGGTAGTATTAGGAAGTTTGGTATGGGGAAGGCTTATTAGACTTACACGTAAACCTAAATTCTATTCTAGTCTGTTATAACTGAAGAGCTACATAGACATCTGTTTGGTAGGTGCATTGTAAGCCATGAAGGAGAGCAAGAGCTTCAGACTCCATTTTTATTTTGGCTTGCTTATGTCCTGAGAACCCTGTAGGCCAAATGTTGTGAATATAGCAGCCTCTGCAACAGTGAAAGCCAGAAAAGGAAGTGGAAAGTCTCAGGGGAGGGGGCTTTCTGTCATGGATTTATGAACACAGCAAGACTAACAATCAAAAAGAAAAATGTGCAAGGATCTTGTTATGTCCCTGACCATATCAAAGTTTACAGATCTGTAGAGGAGGAGTGTTTTACACAGTTTTTACTGTTGTCTTTCAACAAGGTGATGTTGTTGGGTTCAGCTAGTGGATAATGGTATACAGCAGAGAATTCAAAATTACTGTACATCTGACTTTAGAATCCACGATGTGATTTCTGGTAAGTCTGTGAGGGTTGGAACCACATCTTATGTCTCATGCACCTCTGTAATACCTGGCACGATGCCTTGTACATGGGACGTGATCAAAAAATGCTGTTTGATTTGATGATAATGCTTAATATATATATTTTACTCTTTTTGAAAGTCTGTGGTTCTATACTGGGTTTATTTTGGCTAATATTGGCAGTGGGAGAAAAATTAGCCATGAGTTAAAATTCTGCTCCATATTATCCAAGGGGATAAACCATATCTACTAATCAAGACTTGAGTTATATAAATCATCCTTCAACTCTCTTAATACAAACTTAAGGTTTAATAAGGTCACAAAATATCCTTTATTGGGTAAACATAAATCCTGTCTCCACCAAGGGCTGAGGGAAACATTATGAACTACATTTTCAAACAAATTGAAACACAAATTAAGAGGACCAATGAATATTCAAAAAGTGAAGAGCTTCTAAGTCCTACATCCCTGGATTATGAATTGTTCAGGACTTCTTCAGATAGTTTACATGACTGCAGCCCCACGCCACTGCTGGCTGAAGACCCTGCCTTCAAAAAAACAAAGCTGTAGCTCAAGAGTAGTTCCTTCAAAGTATTTCTTCTTTATTCTGAATCTTAACTGCTGAAGTCTGTGTGTCCATTGCCCCAGGTTGTATATGATGAAGGGCCTCTTTACGTCTTCTCCCCAACTGAAGAACTGAGGAAGCGTTGGATTCACCAGCTCAAAAATGGTGAGAATTATTTGGAAAATCAACCAGTTTTCAAAGAAAGGAAAGAGAGAGGGAAGGAGGGAGAGAGAGAGAGAGAGAACAGAAAAAGGAGAGAGGAGAGAGAAAAAGAGAAAGGAGAAAGGGAGAGAGGAAAAGGAGAATGGGTGGAAGGAAGGAGGTGAGAGAAAGAAGAGGGAAGAGAGGGAAGAGAGGGAAGGAGGAAAGAAGAAGGAAAGAAGGAAGGATGAAATATTGTATTTTTTCCCATTATTAGTGATTCAACTGAATTTAATATTTTGGAATATGAATAAAAGATCACATGCTAGACTAAGAGTTTCAATCCCATTTCACCACTCTCTAGTGCAATGTTGTAACTGTAGGTGCCTTTATTTCCCTCTGTATTAAAACGTCCCATTTGTTACACCAATTACAAGGCTGGTGTGATGTGGCATACAATGGTTATTGCAGTATTTTAAATCCTAAATATGAAGTATCCAGTTCCAAACAATTAAATAGATGATCATGGAGTGCTTGAAACCTGGTTCCAAGCCCTGTTCTACCACTAACGCAGTGAGTGACCTCTGGCACACAAGCCAACCAGTTTCTTCATGGCTCAGTTTCTCTTGAAGTAGGAATAATGATGCCTGCTGTACGTACCTCCAGGGTTGTCCTAAGGATCACATGAGGTAATGTATGTGAAGGCATGTAGGATACTGTAAAGCACTGTGCAAAAAAGCACTGTACACCTCTTCATTGTGAATAAATGTTTTCCAAGGAACTATTTCATGTCCCTTGCTTTGTGAGGACCTAAACTTGAACACAGTTTCAGCATGTCATATAGACTATACAGGGTTCTCAGATAAACTTGACTATAAATGCTTGCAGAACAGGATGCATGCACACATATTTGTGTGTATATATAGCCACATGTCAAGTGACTGAGAGATTAACTGGTTGAGTTGACATCAGGAAAGGTTGCCTAGAGAAACAGGAAGGATGGCAGACTGATAATAGCATGGTTGGGTTATTGCATGAGAGCCCTTTGTCTTAATAAACATTTAGATTATTCAGTGGTGGCTATACCAGCTTTGTTCACTTCCTTGAATGCAAGGCTGATTGGTAGAAATAAAAATCACCAAATCTTTCAAGCAGAATGACCGAAGAAAGAAAGAGAGGAGTCATTTATTGAATTCTTGCTGTGTGCCAGACATTGAGCTAGATACCTTGTATTCATTATCTCATTTCACGTGCACAACTGGGGCTAAAAAGAATAGTAATAACTAAACTTAGTGAGCACTTACTATGTACCAGGCTCTGTGCCAAGTGCTTTAATGTACTAGCTCATTTAAACCACACAATAAGCTTATGAAGTATTATTCCCCTATTTACAGATGATGGAACTGAGGCTCAAAGAGGTTCAGTAACCTGCTCAGGAGCACACAGGTAGTGAACAGTGCAGCCTAGGTCTGTATGGCTCCAGAACCTCAACTCATTCCATAGTCTTATGCTGCTTGGCTCTCAAACCCAGAAACTGCACCTGCAGTTAGCTGGAAAATATTCTCGAGTAAGGCCATGTTAAGATTACAACTAGGTGATATCTTGTACCACGTAGTCCAGTTCTTGGCATGTTTTGAAATAAGAGGCTTGCTTTAACCCTAGGGGTACAAAATGAACAGAGGGCATATATATTTGTACTTCCTGGTTCTCAACCACAGTGCCTGGCATATAGAAAGGGGCCAATAAATAGTTGTATTAATTGATTCTTCTGCAGGAGTAAATCACTACCACCAACTTGGGCTCCAACACTGAGGGACAGCTAGGAATCAGTTTGGGAATAGGGGAAGGTAGGGCATAGCTGAAGGAGAAACAAAAGAGAAAAAAATGTGGCATGTAGAAGTTAGTAATCCATTTACACTTCAAATACGAATATTGAGTGCCCACTCTATTCAAGTGGTATCAGTAATGAACAAGGATAAGAATATATCCAGCTTGTAAACTTGGTTTATTAAACTAGATGTTAAGCTTACTATGTTAATTATGCAATGTTTTAAAGTTTGTTAAGGAAATAAAATTACAACAGTAATATAAAGCCAAAACAAACAAATAGAAAACACCACTACTTCGGTTGGATCATGAGTGTGAGTAGGTAGTGTGGGCAAGGTGCAATTTTTCCATCTCTTCCACTGTGCTTGACCATTGTTTTTCCAGTTCTTCCAGACCTGGTTGTATGTCTTCTTGAACGTGTCTGGACTGACAACATGAGCCAATCAGTAGGCACCTTGCAACAAATACCACAGTTGCTGCAAGATTTAGGTGTAGGTGTAAGTCCTAACAATCCCAGAACAGTTGCAGTTGCTGGTGATACCAATAGTGAGCTACTCTAGGAGGCATAAAACCCCGTTGTAGTGGTAAGTTATCTCACTCAGGGGTAAAATGCACCAATTGAAAAATCACGAACATGAGAAGGGTACCTCATCAGAAAACTGGCTACCTCTGCAGGGGTTTTGGCTGTGAAGGTGCATGAGGGAGTCTTCTGAGGTGCTGGATCTGAGTGGTGGTTAAATGGTTGTAGACAAATGCGACTAGCTGTACACCTTAGATTGTGTACTTTATTATATGTAAGTAGAAACTCAGTTTAAAAAGTAGGACCTCGCAAACCTCATACCGAGCTGCCATCTTTTTTCAGTGGCACTTTTTCTATGCAAAGATTGTATCCCAGAAGATTTAAGCCATGGGCTCTCTCCTTCCATTTCCTTGAACATGGCAGGAGCAACTTCAGTGTTACAGCTCCACAGATGTTTGTCTACATTCACTCTAGAATCTTAGGTCAAACTCAGTGGGGCCTCTCCTAATTGCAACTTCAAAACTAAGCAAATGACCTGACCTCACCAAAATGAATGAAAGAGTGGCACTGGTGAAACTCCAAAGACCAATATGGGGAGGAATCATTCATTCATGCCTGAAACAGAATTTTAGATATCATCCTAATAAATATGGATATAAGAGACCAGTGCATCTAGTACTTGGAGAATGTGTACCAGCTATTAGGACTTTTCAGAGAGGTGTGGCCATATGCATTGGTGAATTAAGCAGTCTCTCCTAGCCTTCCCACTTGGACACTGTCTTAGTTAGCTTGGGCTGTCATAACAAAATACCATAGACGAGGTGGCTTAAACAACAAATACTGATTTTTCAGTTATGGAAACTGGGGAACCCAAGATCAAGGTGCTGGTCAATTCGGTTCCTGGTGAGAACCCTCTGCCTGGTTTGCAGGCCCACCACTTTTCCACTGTGCTCTCACATGGCAGAGAGAAAGAAAGAATCTCTTCTGAGTCTCTCATAAGGGCACTAGTCCCATCATGAGGGTTCCACGCTCATGACCTAATTACCTCCCTAAGGCCCATCTCCTAATACCATTGCATTGCAGAGGGCTTCATCATAGGAATGTGGTGGTGGTGGGGGAGGGACACAAGCCTTCAGTCTCTAACAGACACTTGGCTTTTGTAATTCTCTCCTAAGTAACTGGAAATACCAGCTCTAGATTAGCCAACAAAAGAAGGGGTATCATCTTTAGGGGCCCTCTTAAGCAGCAGACATTATTTGGGAATGTTGAGTGGGTTCTTAATGAGTGTACTGGAGGTGGGGAGGGCAGGAAGCCTTATTTCCCCTCATTAGCATATTAGCACAGCTTAGTTTATGAGAGCAGCAGGGTGCTGATTAAGAATTTTTGGTATGTCTACTGGTGACCAAGCCTTTACCCAAGGATCTTCAAATCTCTGGGTGAAGGGTAATGGCATGGCAGGGAAGGGGCAGAGGGTGAAAGCAGTAGGAGCAATCAGTCCTGGCCAGGAGGAGTATCTGAACATTGTTCAGAACTGCCAGTGCCTGGTAATATTAATAAATGTCAGACAGAGTTCTGGTTGGTTTTATTATTGTTTTAAAACTCCTATAGAATATGCAGCTTCTTAGAGCCTGCACCCCATCTGAACAGTTCCCACCACTCTTCACTTGTACAATGGTAGAGGGGGGTGCTGAAAAAGTGAGGGGTGTGGGTGGCAGGGGTGAATGGTGAGAAGTCTTCAAATCCATGTTTAGAAAAGCATCGAGATGGCACTATTTAAAAAAAGGCAGCCTTATGTTCATTTGCCTTTGAAATGTACCTGGGCACCAGAAGCTTCTAGGTTTCCCCAAAGCATTGAGTGAGTAGAGGATGACTAGCAAGCTCTTAAGGACTTCAATTGGTTTCTACAGAGGAAGGTTTTGTTTATGTTTGTCTCTTTTTAAAAAAGTTATGCAAGGCTTCTTTTTAGCACTAAATGCTGAAATGTGTATGTCCTCAGATGTGCATATTCTAAGACCAGCCTAAGTACTTGACCCAATGCTAGCTATTGTCAATTACTTCAATTGTCTTTGCTTCTCTGTTATCTGATAACATGATCCCAGGATGGGATGTCTAACTGACTTCATGTTGATCTTCTTGAGTTTGCCACAGCATTAAAATCAGTAATACAAAATTCTCATATCTGCAAATCACTCTATTCTTTGCGAAGTATTTTGGCTTCTGGGAGCTCTTCTGGGAGCCTCACAAAGCTGTGAGGGAAATAATGGAGCTGCTATGTTCATTTCCCACAAGGATTTCAACCTGCCTTGGTGGCCCTAGGATGACTAACCATGTTTACTCTAGAGGTAGAATCATTTTCATTTGTCCCTGAGCTCCGCTAGTTGACTAGTCTATGAACACAGAAAGCCTGATGCAGAATTTCTAAGGCAAATGTCTCTAAAGGACCACTTAGGGAGCTGGGTCATTGGTATATTGAGAGCTGGAGGAAGAGTTTGACTTGAGAGTACTGTTTCCCATATCTAGTAAAGAACACCATAACCAACACCTGCCTTACAGGAAGACTAGAATGGCTACTGGGAAAACATAGATAACATATTTTTGTTCATGGGCTCTGGAGACATCAGATATTCTTATCACATTAGTCAAGAGATAGTCATCATGTCAGACCACTGAAGAGAAGTGCACAGGAACTCTGTGGAGCCAGACATGTGATCCAACTGATCCTGTCGCCTGCTTTCCTTCAGGGTGGCAGTTGTTTGAAGGTTACGACAAAGCTCAAAGAGGAAAACATGCAAATGCTGGATTCTCCTCACTGTCAGATGTGAATTCTCTCTCTTCTTTTCTCTTACAGTAATCCGCTACAACAGTGATCTGGTACAGAAATATCACCCTTGCTTCTGGATTGATGGGCAGTATCTCTGTTGCTCTCAAACAGCCAAAAATGCTATGGGCTGCCAAATTTTGGAGAACAGGAATGGAAGTAAGAGATCTGATCAATATAATTTATCCCTTCTTTGACTCTATCCATCACTCTTTCAAGGGTCTATCAAAAGGTTTGTACCTTTTGGCCACTGCACAAATGGGCCTGAAAGAGGGGATTAGTGGAGGCCAAAATCCAGCTGGTGCTCTCCTGGCTGTGTGAGCTCGCATGGGGCTGTATCCATCCAGACTTTTGCTAACTTGCCTAAAAGCACTATATGCAAGAACTAAGTCCCTGACAAACCTGTCCCTGGGCCTCTTTCCTAAATGCATTCTGTATCATCACTGGTTTCTTCCTTTACAGGCTTAAAACCTGGAAGTTCTCACCGAAAGACGAAAAAGCCTCTTCCTCCCACACCTGAGGAGGACCAGGTATGTAGGGAAACTGGCCGCTGCTACTGCTTACATAGAAACTTACAGGTGCACCCTGAAAACACAGCAGAGTTTAGAACTGCTCTGGGACTTGGCAGTGTTAATTGGTATTCTTACTGAGACAGGGCTTGTGTCCTAATTAGGACTTCCTCCTCAGGGAAAAGAAAGGAGGGTATTTGGAAGCTCTTGGTGACCATTAATCCAGTCGCCTGTTTAAAACAAAACAAACCCTGATTTTTTAAAAATGAAAAGTATCATAAAACAGAAAGCTGAAAGAATTTAACAGCAAACACCCACATACCCAATATCTTGATTCCACCGCTAATATATTTCTATAAAACTTGATTCTTTGGTTACTTTCTGAGGTCTAGAAAGCCCTTTTCTCATATATAGTAAGCAAGCAGGGCAGGAATTATGATGCTCATTTTACAAACAAGGAAAACACAATTCAAAGCCACTTAGTAGATTCATGTGCTAGTTTGGTGCCAAGAAGTTTTCATGATCATGGCTGTACATGGTTTTTGTCTGGCAAGCTTGAAAAACACTGATGCCTGGGTCCCAACCCCAGAGATTTTGACATAATTGGTCTATGAAACTGCCTAGGTGTCAGGCTTCTTAACTCCTCCCTAGATGATTCTGATGCTCACTTCAGGCTGAGAGCCCCCGCACAGGAGCTTAAAAATGGTTGTTTAATGAATGCTGAATAAACCTTTTATTATGCCTGATTTGGGTTAGAATAGTGTCTTCAGTAAACCAGAGAGTTGGGGGGATGAGAGTGCTTGATATTGAGCCAAACGTCCCACTTTTTTCTCCTATCTACACAGATCTTGAAAAAGCCACTGCCCCCTGAACCAACAGCAACACCGGTCTCCACAAGTGAGCTGAAAAAGGTCGTAGCCCTTTATGACTACATGCCAATGAATGCAAATGACCTACAGCTGCGGAAAGGCGATGAATATTTTATCCTGGAGGAGAGCAATTTACCCTGGTGGCGAGCGAGGGATAAAAATGGGTTAGTTCACGCCAGCCCTCCCTGAGCTTTGTGCCCCCGACTCCACACATGGGCAAAACGCGGCAGCATGATCCCCCTAATTGGTATCTGGATAAGAGCTTGTTATTCCCACACCAAAGTGAATACGCTCTCCCTCAAGTGCTTTCCAGAGTGCAGCTCTACATGTAGCCACCTCTCTGAGCCTGTAGGGTCTGGCCCACGTCTCATGTACATACAATCAATGCCACATGTGCAGAAGCTACACACTTAACTGGCCTATCCATGCAGCAGTGACATGATCTTGTTTTGGGAAAGTAGGAGGCATGGTATATACACCTCCATTTGAGATTGGTTCTGAGCCCAGGAATATATGAATCTGGCTCCTCCCCAGGGTGGGGGTTGCTGTATAATTACCACATTGTTTCCTCTACAGGCAGGAAGGCTACATCCCTAGTAACTATGTCACTGAAGCAGAAGATTCCATAGAAATGTATGAGTGAGTATGCTTATGTTCTTCACACACAGTCTTCCCAGAGGAACCAAATATAGTATATCTTTTTATACTTTCAACAAACTTCTGATTTCAATATTATTTATTAAAATCAGTGCCAAGTGGGTCAAATGATGCCACGTCCTAAGCTACTGCTTATGTTTCACCCTCACCCCAAACAGCCTCTGCTTATGAGAGCTGGAGAGGTCACCACCACGCCTCCCTAATCTTAGAAGAACCACACTCAAAGAAAATGAATTGACAACCTAATAGGAAACATTTGAAAGGGTGAAAATGCCAAGCTTCTGCAATTGTCCTTTTTCCTTAATCAAGGAAGTGAATTGTCCTTGAGTGCCCTGTCCCTGAGCCCTTCCCTGCAACCCTCTGCTACCTGTCTTTGCCCTCTACTCTCCATTTCCATCCATCTTCAGCACCCACTGGGCTTTGGGAGAGGAATGCAGTGTGCTAGGCATATGCTATGCACTCAATAAAAAGGAGTTGAGTGTACTGACTGAATCATCACTGCATGGATGAGCCCTGGAGGGCACTCTAATCTCTGAGCTGCTAACTCCATGGCCTAGAGCCACTAACACTCAAGCACTCTTGCTTTACAGGTGGTATTCCAAACACATGACTCGGAGTCAAGCTGAGCAACTGCTAAAGCAAGAGGTAAGTGTGTGACCACAGGCAAATGGCATTCAACTTGCCTAACAAGTGAGAATCCCGAGTGGAGGGCTTGCCACTTTCTGCCACCTTCAGGCAAGGCAGTGTCAAGGCTATCATTTCATTGGGTGGGGGTCGCAATTATGCTTTTCAGTATCAAAAGCAATGAAGCTGCAGCTCAAACATGGAACTTGGCAGTGAAATCAGGGCTTCGGCAGGTGGGATGCAGGTTTGAGTGCCACTTCCTCGGTAAAGTCAGCTTCATTTTTGTTGTTTCAGGGTAAAGAAGGAGGTTTCATTGTCAGAGACTCCAGCAAAGCTGGAAAATATACTGTGTCCGTGTATGCTAAATCTACAGGGTGAGTGCTATTGCTCCCCGAACCTGGGGACAAAGGACAAGGGTGCCCACCCAACAGCTCCTTAAGATGTGCCCCTCTTGCTTCCTCTGTTCCTTAAACTCAAAACTCATCCCATTTCACTTCTTGGGTCCTGCTGACCCTTGTTCCCAAGTTGCTGACTCAGCATCCACTTCTTCAGGGACCCTCAAGGGGTGATACGCCATTATGTTGTGTGTTCCACACCTCAGAACCAGTATTACTTGGCTGAGAAGCACCTTTTCAACACCATCCCTGAGCTCATTAACTACCACCAGCATAACTCTGCAGGTGAGTACTGGGACTCCAGAGAAGGGTGTGACAAGCACTAGGAGAAGCAGTCCAGGACAAGGTGGTGAGGGGAAGAGTAAGCCTCATAGGCAGTGCATATTAGCTGTGAAAGTAAACCCCTGTAATGCCAGGTACAGATCAAGAGGTGGCAGACCTTACACCCAGTAGAGACTGACTTCTTTTTTGGTGACTGATACTCATACTAAGGAAAGACATAGAAGAGACTGGTGATTAACCAAACAGCAAGTAGTCACTGAGTTTCTAGTGTATACTCGGCAATTTCCTCAGTAGTAGAGGAGGACTGAGGAAAAGTATTACTTAAGGCCCTTGCCTTCAAAGAACATACAAGCTGGAAAACATCAGAAGACAGTTTCTAAGTAATATAGACCTTCTAAAAACTGGGAGATTGGTGAGGGCATGAACAAATGAGATAGGCTTCATTGGGAAGGCTTGCTGCTGTCTGCCATTTCCAGGCAAGGAAGTGTCAAGGCCATCATTTTATGGGGTCCGATTACACTTTTCAGTATCAAATGCAAAAGTAGGATGTGAGCTTAACCTGGGCTGGGTGGTGGGGATAGATTTAGTTGGGGAGTGTATTTCAAGGACTATTTTCTTTTTTTGTCCCTAAAATTATTTTGTGAGAGGAGAAACTTCCAGCAAAATTTGGGTCCAGAGAGATCTTCTGGGATTCAAAATGTACTAGAAAGATTAACACCTGATGCGTTAAAGCTTCAAGTGAGGGTATGTGAGGCATCCAACCCCCTATGCTGCACCAGCAGCATGACCCTCTGTATGTTTTAGGACTCATATCCAGGCTCAAATATCCAGTGTCTCAACAAAACAAGAATGCGCCTTCTACTGCAGGCCTGGGCTACGGTAACTGCTTATTTCTCTAGGGTAGGGTGGATCGGCCGGTTGCACGGACTACCTTTGGCAGACCCAGTTAGACCTTGCAGCACAATGTTCTCCACCAGCTGCCTCAAGGAAGGTTAAGACAGAGCCAAACAAAAGTTATTTAGTAATTTCCCCCCTTCTCGTGGCTCCCACTGGGATTGCAAAACCATAGATCTATAAAGTTTTTTAAATTGTGGTTTAAAAAAGCCATCATAAAGGGATTTTAAGAGGTTGTTTAGTTTACCTTCTTCCTTTATGGCTAACTTGTACCTAAAATTCCCAGATTCCTTTAACCAGTAATCCCCTGGCCCTGAGAGTTACCTGAGCAAGGATGGATTAGTACTGCTGAAAATTTCCCCTTTACTGCTTGCCTATATCTACCCCAACTAGGGATTCTTAACTTGCTGTAGGAATTATACATACCTAACTCCCAAAGAATCACATCAAAGCTTTGTTATTATAGGATCATGGGAAATTGATCCAAAGGACCTGACCTTCTTGAAGGAGCTGGGGACTGGACAATTTGGGGTGGTGAAGTATGGGAAATGGAGAGGCCAGTATGATGTGGCCATAAAGATGATCAAAGAAGGCTCCATGTCCGAGGATGAGTTCATTGAAGAAGCCAAAGTCATGATGTGAGTTACAGCCCAAACTCAACTCTCAGTCCAGTTGCTGGCATCTAGGAACTTTCAGGACAGTCCCCATTGTGGTTTAAGGTGACTTATAATGAGAAAGATTTGTGACCAGGGCCTGAGGTGAACCTTTGTTTGGTGGGAGTCCTAACTGCTAAGGTAAACCTTTCCTTGTATTAGATGCTGGTTGAAAATAGTGTTGATCACGGGTGTATATCATCTCAGTAGCATTTGCAGGGAAATGTGGAAATGAGACTTTCAAAAGGAAGATTGTTTCTGATTTAACCTTAGTGTGCATTCAGCTCTGGGTTTGTTTCCTGTTCTATTGATGGGTTCCAAATCCTTGCTCACCCTTAAATATTAGACACTTCTGGGGTTTAGGGTGGGAAGGAGGAAAGTCAACTTGCTATTATGGTCTCTTATCTGATGCTCTACTCCCAGGCCAACCCCTTCTCTCCCCAGTCCCTTTCTGATTAGTAGGCAGAGCAAGAAAGGGAGTACTGGTTTGTTGCCTCTTGTAGGAATCTTTCCCATGAGAAGCTGGTGCAGTTGTATGGTGTCTGCACCAAACAGCGCCCCATCTTCATCATCACTGAGTATATGGCCAATGGCTGCCTCTTGAACTACCTGAGAGAGATGCGCCACCGCTTCCAGACTCAGCAGCTGCTGGAGATGTGCAAGGATGTCTGCGAAGCCATGGAATACCTAGAGTCAAAGCAGTTCCTTCACCGAGACCTGGTAGGACCTCAGAAGGGTTGGCCTGGGACAAAGGGCTAAGGGGGTGGAAGTAGCAGAGGAAGCCATATCCTACATGGATGAGGAGAGTTGATGGAGCCATCGTTTCAGTTTTATCTAGAAAACACTAAAAGTCAGATGAGCCTCTGCTCCAGTGGTCAGCCAGTCAAGGATATCACCACCACACATGGTGGGAGCTAGAGCAGTCACTCACTTCCAGCCCCCTACCATGAAAAGAAAATGGTGGCGTCTTTCATGGGAAAAAGGGCAACCCTGCTTTTCAATGGGGCTGCTCCTGATACAGAGCCATCATTTGGTTATATCAGAGTCACAGACTGCAGGCTTGCAGGTACATTTTTGTTTTACAGTGTACATTAGCAAACACAAAGAAACTTTTCACATTAAAAAACTATTTCCAGCTTCTCTTGAAAATCTAGACCATCTTGTAACACCAGGCCCACATTCTCACATTCTCATAGGCCATGGTAACAGTGAGCTGGAGCTGAGAAGCAGCTGCCTCCTTTAGCCTAGCCAGCTGCATACTCTCCATTTTGCTGCAATTTCCACCCACCCTACTTCACTCTATCACTTTGCCTTTCCAGGCCTCTGGAGGCATCAGTTTGTGCTCATTTATTTCAGCCAGGCTGAGGCTCAAATTAGCTTAGTTCCAATGGCAGAAAACAAGACAAACTTGCCTTCTGTTCTCCCTTAATTCTCTCAGCATTTCAGTGCAGGAAGGGGTGTCATGGCATTGCCAATATGAATGAAATCATTCAGCACACCCTCAGTGCTTTACTTATGACTACATGGCAGGTTCCCTTACATGTGGTGGAAATGCATCAGATTTTCTCAGTGGCATCAATTAACTGCTGTTAGGTGGGAAGGTGTCATAGTTGAAGGAGATGAGACTTCCTTGGCTTCATTCCCCTATTGAGCAGAAGCTTTGTGCCTTTAACCTGTGTGCCAAGGATGGAGTCTCACTGGTAACTTGTACTACAGGCAGCTCGAAACTGTTTGGTGAATGATCAAGGAGTTGTAAAAGTATCTGACTTCGGCCTGTCCAGGTGAGTGTGCCTTTTTCTTTTTGCTCTCTAGAAGTTAAAATAGCACAGTACAATCATAAGCAGGCATTATTATTTTAATCTTCTACCTTTTTTTCTTATTCTAGTCTTTTCCACCATCTTTCTATTCCTTTTCTTTCTCTGAATTATTTGTCACTTCTTTTACCCTTTTGTTAAACCCTCTTCTCTCCTTCCTCCCTCCTTTTTTTTTTTAGCTAATTTTCCTTTGTCTTATGTTGATCTGTTAATCCTGTTGACTTTACTCCATCCCTGCTTCTTTCATCATCAGCCTAATTCCTACCTGCAACTGCAGAAAAGGAAGGGAAGGAGAAGAAAAGAGAAAGGGAAGTGGGATAGACAAGAGGAAGGGAGTACCTATTAGATCTTATTTCACTTCATCCTTGCTGTAGCTATATCGTCAATCAGGAAAACCAAATCAGACACAAAACCAGGAATATGTTAAAAGTAACATTTGCAAAGACATTGGTTGGACTGTAGCTATATTTGTGCAACTCCTGTGACTGTGTCAAGAAAATATAACCAAATACCAAGTTCTCCAAATCCGAATAGTAACATGTCCTGAATCCTTTGCAGGTATGTCCTGGATGATGAATACACAAGCTCAGTAGGCTCCAAATTTCCAGTCCGGTGGTCTCCACCAGAAGTCCTTATGTATAGCAAGTTCAGCAGCAAATCTGACATTTGGGCTTTTGGTGAGTGGATAAGATTATACAAATCATACAGCTCAAAGGAAAGGAATGCAATAAGGAAACTGACACTTTGCAACCTGCACAGAGAGACTGTTACTTGTTCTTGCTTTCATTCATCTAATCTTTAGGGAGTGATTATTATATCAGGCACACAGGGGTTTCTGGGGATAAAAACAGTAAACTAGACATGACCCCTGCTTTCTTAGAACTCACAATATATTGAGGGGAACAAACAACTCCTTCAGTATACTCCACAGCTTCTGAATACTGATCATGTACCAAGGGACTCTGCCAGACCCTGTAACTACAAAGACAAATAAGATGCTGTCTCTCTCCTAGAGGAGCTGAAAGTCCACTGCAGCCTCAATTTCTCTCCAGAGTGGTCAGTACTACAGCAGAGGTCTGGACAAAATGCAAAAAACAGAGAGTGGTGAAACAGCTCAATTTAATCCTTTAGGTTGATCTAGGAACCCTAGGATCCCTACTACCCGAAAAGATGGCAAATCAACTTAATATGTTTTTTTTTTCATTTTCCAGGGGTTTTGATGTGGGAAATTTACTCTCTAGGGAAGATGCCATATGAGAGATTTACTAACAGTGAAACTGCTGAACACATTGCCCAAGGCCTACGTCTCTACAGGCCTCATCTAGCTTCAGAGAGGGTATATACCATCATGTACAGCTGCTGGCATGAGGTGAGTGTTTTATTTGGACCTCTTAAATTATTTCCCTGGACCTTCTTCCCCATTTAGCTGGCCAGGCACCCAGTCCCCACTCTCCTTGGCTGAATGGCAGCTGGGCACAGACTGAGAGTTGCACATCTTCTCGGACCCCAGCCTGCACCTAATTCTTTGATGGCCAGAGGCTTTCCCAGCCCACTCCAATTCTCTAACTAGTATCATTAGCAGACCCCAATACCAACTCAGCTTTAGGGATACAGGGTGTTGTAGGTCACCTAGCATAAGCAGGCAGCTGCAGGTACTCAGAAAAATGTACAGACATTAAAAAAGACAAGAGAAGTCATCAAAATTTGTGTGCATTCCTTTGGGAGTCATTGGCCCTTTCTGCTACTTTACTGCTAACCTTTTCTGGTTATGGTCCTAAATGAGATTTTTTAAAAAACCATTAGGCCTGAAAGGCAACTAAAATAGCACTTTTAAAAAATGTGGCATGTTATGGGGTATGTGGGTAGATGTGCTACCTTGAAAATAGGGAGCCTATCCCATCATTACTAAAATGCTTTGCTGCTCTCACCTCGGGTTCTTCCAAAGGTACCTTCTCCACTCTTCAGTAAATCCTTGGCAATCTTAACTTGGCAACCTAAATGTCTAGTGGGAAGTGAATTTTCAACTCTTCATTCTGCCCCACTAGAAACTGGGAAAGACAGTCAGTCTCCAACAAGGACATATGTGAATCTAGAGCCCTCTTGGTGGGGTGAAAAGTGGGTATCTGGATCAGAGCATGGCTCCTTTCCCTTCAACAAGGAGAAAGGGAGAACCCCTTGCAGCCTTTTCCCTTCTCGCTCCTGTGCCATGCAGGATTAAGGGTGACTAGCTATGCACCCTCCCAACTAGGACATCCTCATTCTGCTAGTTAACTGTTTGAGACACATACTGTCTCCCAGCCTATTTAAAGTTCTAGGTTGAGAAAGTGGTTTCACATAAGAATCCCTGGGGAATTCTTGAAACTACAGATAACTGGGCCTTATTTCCAGAGATTCTGATTAGATATACCTAAAGTATAACCCAGAAATACCTTTGAAACTTCCCAGGACATTGTGATACTCAGCTAGGTTTGAGAACCACTGGTTCAAAGGAACAAAAAATTGATGACATTTTGGTTCTAATGGACTGAGACCTTTCTGGCATGAATATACCCAGAATTACTAAATAACTCAGGGACTTATGGACCATGGCTGTACAACAGGCCTTGGTCTGGAGGTCAGACAGTGGTAATAAAAGGTCCCAGGTGATCAGGATCTCTGCCCAGTAATGTAGCCCATGGCCTTGAAATGTTAATTCACTTGTTAACTTTGGCTATGGGATGATAAAAAGAGTGTTTGAAAAACTAAAAATTATCACAGCTTATAGGATGTCAGTTCTGTCAATCACTTAAACTTGTTTGGTAGCCATTTGTCACTTGAGGATCCAAAATAAGAATGCACTGGTGTACAATTATGTAATGAATTTGTCCTCTGTTTTAATCAATATGTTTGTCAGTTTGATTTGCAAACTGGTTCTCATCACATTAATAACCAAATTACTAAATAACTGCACAAGGACTTTATGGAGAGTGTCTATGCTACTGTGCATGTACTCTCTACTTAATAAACATTTGCTGCTTACTCATTACAGTTCCCTTTAATTCTGGATTCTAGCCCACTCTAACACTACTTTTTCTTTGGTTTTAGAAAGCAGATGAACGTCCCACTTTCAAAATTCTTCTGAGCAACATTCTAGATGTCATGGATGAAGAATCCTGAGCTCACCAATAAACTTCTTGGTTCTACTCCTCTCCTCCACAAGCCCCCATTTCATTCACTTCCTCTGAGGAAATCCCAGGCTTACAGGCCCTGGAGCCTTGGTGCTCTGTTGAATACACAAAGACCCCTCTGTACAGCTAGGAATGCCTTTCTTAGATTCCCTGGGATAGTACCTTCTGAGCAAAGACCAAGGAATTACTGTGTCTAGTATTGTCCCCCAGTGAGTAAATTTCCCGAGTATTAAGACAGACTGAATTTGGGATGGAAACAGTTTTGGGAAGGGAGGGATGTAAATAGCCTCACATGGGGTCCAACAGCTCTTTGGGTAGGCATTAGAGCTTCGTGCGGGGGTTGGGGGGTAGAAGGCAGAATTTGGCAAGAATAAAACGGTGTCATAAAAATGGGAGGGGAGGGTGTTTTGATAAAATAAAATTACTGGAAAGCATGAAGGTTTCTTGCTATCTCGATTAATCATGCAGCCTTCTTGAAGCGCCCTATCTCACTGTTCCAAAAAACTGTTATGTGCCATTGCCTTGGCATATTCCTACCTTGAGAATTCGACAGGATTCTCCGCATTTAACCCCTCTGGCTCTTGGAAAATTTTGCCTCTTAATCAGAGACGAACTCACAAGCCAAAGCACAGAGCCTGGCCCACAGTAGACACGCAATATTATCGGAATGAATCTGAAAGTGGAGGCCAAATTCCGCTGGAGTCTCTTTTTCTACGTCAGGAGCGGAAACTCAAAGAACTAGAGTCCTTGGCTGGCCAAGAGACCCGCCGAGCACCAGCAGGGCAGAGGGAAAGCGCGGGCCAATTTGGAAGCGGGGATGGGAGGGGCCCCGTGGTCTGAAGTAACTTCCTTTTCTAGTTTCTTTTTTTTTCTTTTCTGTTTGGAATAACGTCTAGACAACGCCGCAGGGCTGGGCCGCGAGACCTGAGACCTCAGGGCGCAGGCGGTGTGCCGCCGCGGGGCCCACGGGCGACAGCTGGGCAAGGAGACACCAGGACGCACACCGGACGTGGGCGGTGGTCGGCTGGGACCGCGCGCAGAGCCGCGCGCCGGCGCATTGCGCTCTCGGGGCGGTCCCGGGGGCGGTGGGTTGTAGTTCCGGTTCCTTCGCGGAGACACGTGAAGGTCGGGGAGTTGCTGCGGAGTGCGTCTCGGCTCGCGGGACCGCGCTGGGATGGATTCCTCCTCATCTTCCTCCGCGGCGGGTTTGGGCTCGGTGGACCCGCAACTGCAGCATTTCATCGAAGTGGAGACTCAGAAGCAGCGCTTCCAGCAGCTGGTGCACCAGATGACGGAACTTTGTTGGGTGAGGAATCTGGGGCTGGGACCTGACCAATGTATCTACTTTCCCCCTGTCCTTGCCCCGCGGTACTTGCCCTGATGTCAGGAATTCGGGCAGGGGGAGGGTCCGGCAGCACCCTTAGTTTTCTCAGGTACCTTAGGGCGGCCTAGAAGGGAAAGGGTGACTTTAGTTTTTGGGACTGTCACGCCGGACTTTGGCTTTGTTGGTGCAGGGGTCTGGGGATCATACACTTAATGCCACTGTCCCAGCCAGCATTTTAGGCACCTAAAGTTGAAGCTCCCTATTGCTGGTCGCCAAGACTGATAAAAGTCCCCAGTACTGGTATTTTATTTTGGGAGCCCCTAGTCCCAGAGAGTCAATGAATCTCTTGTTCCTGAACACCTCAGGATTTACCTTGATTATCCAGTTGCTCTAACCGCCCCCCATGAGAAATGAGTGGCTGTAGCCTACTAACTATAAAAGTGGCGTAATCCCTACCAACATACACTTATTGGTCTTCTTGTTGGATTGTGTAATATCAAACTTTCAGGTCTGAAGGTTGAGGAATTGAGTATGCGCTGTGAAGGGACTTTGGCAGAAAGGTGAAAGGCATTTACAACTTGGGATCAAAGAGTTATCCAGCTCCCAAGGACAGCATGACTGCCTTACCTTGACATAGAAAAGTCACAGTTCAGAGGCCAAGGATAATTTTCCTTGGAAGTGGAAGGTTTGAGGCTTGTGTACACAGAGAGTAATGAATGAAAGTCATCTGAACTGCTCATATTGAACTATATATATATATAAAATATATATATTATATAATTTATATATATTATACAGTCATGGGTTTCCATAGTCCCTTTCCTATAAACTTACAGTTTAACTGGACTCTGGCCCTTAACAAATACTTAACTTCTGTTTGCTATAGACCAGAGTACTTTAATTAAAAAAAAATTATATTCATTACATTTGGGCCAGGAGAGGGTGTGACTAAGGCCTCCTGTAAGAATCTGTAAGCTGTGGGCCCTTGAGGAAAATTCATACCGTTTTTCATTGATCTTGAGAGGATTTAAGGACCTCTGGCTTAAGTAGACAAAGTTACAGAATGCCTTGCTGCATTGATTTATCCTTTTGCTTTTTTATTTGGCAGTTAATTTAAAGGCATTTAGTGGAGGCATTTTGGTATAGTCATAACGAAATTCAGTAAAGGGTTATTTCACCTGTGTTTTGCCATTTTTTTCTGGCTCTGTAATATCTCAGTTCCACCATTTTCTGGTCCTGTGACTTTGGGCACAGTATCTCTGTGCCACAGCTTCCCTCTTTGTAAAATGAGGATCAATAATAGCATCTATTTCATAGGGCTGTTGTGAGAATTTAGTGTAAGACTGGAATATTGCTCGCTTCAAAGTAAGCTGCCAACTGTGAACTATTGTTAACATATCAGATACTGTTTTTAGGTGAAGTTCTGCCTCTAAGGAATAAGAAGTTACCCCCACCCCACCCTGTTTCTCCTCCCAAGTTCTTTTTGTAATTCTGTGTCTTGTCCTGAGCAGGAGAAGTGCATGGACAAGCCTGGGCCAAAGTTGGACAGTCGGACTGAGGCCTGTTTTGTGAACTGTGTTGAGCGCTTCATTGATACAAGCCAATTCATCTTGAATCGACTGGAACAGACCCAGAAATCCAAAGCAGTCTTCTCAGAAAGCCTTTCTGACTGATCTCAGCATTACCTCTTTGGAAAAGGAAGGTAGTTCAAGAAATGAAGAGTGGTTGATGGGATGGTTAAAAAAAAGGCTATGGGGGTATTGGCTCCCACCTTTGTCACTCTTGGGGCACCCTGTCATCTAAGAATGAACAAAGACCAATATTTTGTGTGTGGTGTTTGAGGGTCATATGTGTACTTGGTTGTGTTTTTTAATGCTAACCTTGTGAAAACAATTAACAGATGAATAGAAAACTCTACTAGATGCATATTACTGTATGTGAGACTGCTTTTCACAAAGTCCCATTTACTGCTTCCCTTAATTTGGATAGTGGAACTGCTTTGTCTAATTTGATAGTGGGACCACATAGATAAAATCTGTCATTTGTGTGGATTCATTTCAGATTTCCACGGAAATGATACATATCTTTGTGTGTCTCAGAAAGGGTGGCAGTGGGGGAAGAGTGATTTGGCCGCCTCATCTAGTGTTTTGACTATCAGTGCTAGAAAAAAATATGGAATGTTCATACAATACACTTCAGCTTTCTAGTTTATCTCCCTCCTTTATACTTTGATTTAATTAAATATGTAACATGATCTTGACATAGTAACCTGAGTGTCTAGAGGTGAGGTCTTAGTTATAAAGGAATCTAGCCAGTGAACATAGTTCTTATTACTAAACTGCCACAAGGAAGAAGTTAACTTACCCTGTATATCAGGGTCCAAAAAATTCAAAGACGTGCCTAAATAAGTTACGAAGATTTAAACTAGCCAAAACCTAACAGCAGCTTCAGGTAGAGATGCATGCCTAATGCTAATCAGTATAGATTCCATTTATTGTGTTCTTTTGATCACTGAAATAAAAGGTTCTGTAAGATTCAACTCTGTGATTGAGAAGGCTTTCTACTCTGGTTATCACCTGCACCCAGGGGAGATTTGGTGTGGGCTGGTTGCAAGGCTGAAATGTAGTTAGTCTGGGTACTTGCTCTATGTAAGGAACAGCACAGTATTTCAGGGAGCTCTGACCTTTTTGTGAGACAGGAGAACCTTGAGATGAGGGGCAGGGGAGGAATTCAGAGCTGACAGTCAGTTCTATAAGTTTAGTAGAAGAGGTTATATTGACTGGATTTCCTTCCTCTGGCTTCAAATCCCAGTAGACTGGAGTATAGACCTAATGTGGAACCACTAGCATCTTCTGGACTCAAAAGAGGCTGATGGAGAAAAGTCTGGTCACCTTCATTTTCATTCCATGGAAGGATAAAGGTATTGTCTAGATTTATTGATCTTTAGTCAAGGGGCAACAGGTGCAGACCAAAAGCAACATCTCAAAAGGTGTGGAGGAAAAAAGGCAAGAGCTATGGTAAGGAAACCACAGGTGATACCACTAAAGTTGTTGAGGGCCTGTGCTGCCATTCCTTGAAAAGAATGGCAAAGCAGGTGATGATGGCATTAGGGAAAAGGAAATACCACATAGGAATGATTGCATAGGTACTGCAACTATCCAAGGCCTTGTTCAGATAGTTCATTTGAATGTTTACACAAATCACAAGAAAAATCAAGAGTACCTGGCCTAGAGCTGGTTTTGTGACTGGCTTCCCTATAATAGCTGCTACAAGGCAAATGCCCAAACTTGATACCTGACACAGAAAGTGAGCCAATAGAGAAGCAGATTATACACCAGGAGGTTACTTTGACCATCATGAGGTCCCACTATAAAGACAAGCAAGTGGAACTAGTCACCACACACGAGGCAGAAAAGATGAATCCTGTAATAAAAAAATAATTCAATTACTATTTTTAGTACTTACATAGAAATGCTAAAGTAATTTGACAATTAAATCATTGCATTCTGTAACACCTTAAGTAAGCAGCATTTGAGCAATTAGCCATTTAATGGATGAAATAATAAAATTTGTGTCATATATCTAAAGCTATATCTTACAAAAATCACTCTCAAAAAGCAAAGCCTGTATCATGTAATTATGGTCCTTTCTGCTACAGAGAAGTACATGAAGGACCCATTAGGATAGAACAAACCAGGATTCAGGTGTGCTGATCAAGAACTCTAGATGAACAAAAGGACCAACAGAATTTTGGGATGTAACTGCAATGTAATAGCTAGGCTTTATAGCCACCCACAGCTGGAAGAGGCAAGGAAGGATTCTCCCCAGGAGCCTTTAGAGGGAGTGTGGCCTTAACACCTTGATTTCAGACTTCTGATCTCCAGAACTGTGAGGGAATAAATTTCTGTTGTTATAAGCTAAATAATAATAATAATAATAATAATATAATAATAATAATAATAATAATAATGATAGCTAGACTTTATTGAGTATGCATGCTATTTGCCATATTTTGTACTAGTATTTTACATGGATCGTCTACTTAAAATTAGAATTCTGAAAGAGGAACTATTATTACACACCTATTTTATAGATGGAGAAGCTGAGGCTCAGTAATTTATTCAAGGTTCCACTGAGAACCTATATTGTAAGGATGGAATTTTAATTCAGGCAGTTTAACTCCAGAGCTGGAGATCTGACCTACTATACTCAACTGCCTCCTAATGTGTTTAAAGATGGGAAGTAATGTTTCTTTAAAGTCAGGGCCAGAATGACTGGAACATTTCATTCTAGAAATAGCATGGTGTAGTGAAAGGTTTGGGAGTCAGGCAGAACTGGGTGCAGATACTGACTCTGCTAACAGTTGTGTGACCTTGAAGAAGTCACTTAACCTCTTATCCTCCGTGTCTTCATCTATGAAATTGAAATGGTAACCTTACAGGGTTGAAAAGTGAGATCACGTGTAAAGCACCTGGCATACTAGAGGCTTTAATGGTAGCTATTGTTTATTACTATTCAGAACTGAGCCTCTTTGATAATCCTTTCAGAGTTACTGTCTGGGAGAACAAGAGAACAAGAAGCCACTTAATGAAGCTGACTGGTTGATGAAGTGGCAGAGCTAACTGAACACTAACATTAAGAATTTTGAGTTTTATCTTGCAATCAGTGGAAAGCTATTGGAGAGTTTTAAACAGTGGAGTAAAATTGCACTTTTTACATGACAAAAGTACTTAATGTTTTAAAACTTCCAAACAATACAGCATTGCTTAAAATAAATCAAAGTCCTCCCCCTTGCCTCCTTATTTGCATTTAGAAAGATCACTTTAGCAGCCATATGGTAGTTGGATTAATGCAGAGAGAACAGTAACAAGAGTATCACTAATTCAGGCAAAAGACTATGTAAGATTGAAAGGGGCTGGACAAGACATTAGGAATATGGGGAGGGAGAAGTCTAGAGTGAAGTGGAAAGGGATTAAAACATGATAGGGAAGTAGGTAGGGTATAGAGTAATGTGCTAATGAGAGGTTACCTTGGGGTTCAAAGGGCAGCAAAAGTGACTAGGAAGAGAGGAAGGTGGCAGAACTGATCATATTGAATGGGCTGCAGAGGGTGGTTACACAGATGGCTATCCCCAGTTCCGTAGCTCCAGTGTCTGGTAACTCCTGGAATTGTTTATTGCTACCTTCCAATTTAAGGAACATACCCCTGAAGTCAGAAATACTGCAAAGATTACAAATACATCATTGTATAAACTTTTAACAGCAAAATTTAGAAACAAGCCAAGAGAAAAAAAGATAAAATAACACTTGAGTTGTAACATTGTACTTTGATAAGGAGAGGAGGAAGGAGTAGAAGACAGAAAGGATAAAGAAGGAAGCAGTGGGGGTCAGGAACAAGCAGTTGCTTGTTAAACTGTCCTTCAGACTTACAGTTATTTCCATAGGCTTAAATCATTTGCTATATAACATGACTGACTTGTGTTCTAAACCTGTGGTGTTAAAATGAAAATTATCTGATGTGGTCACAATATGTACCTTGTCACTACAAAGGAAACATTAGCAACACTGCCTAGTTCTTTTTCTAAATAGCTATTCATCATCATGTGGCATGGTAGGCCACCAGGTCAAAAAAGCTGATCCCATTTTTCAAGCAATTTCTTCTTTCCTTCCCTCAGGCAAATCTTGGGGCTGCTCTCTTTCTTCTTTTCTTAAGGCTGTGAACACTGGGGTTCTTCTTCCCATCAGATTAACTATCATTCCTAATTCATCTCATTCTTCCTATTCACGACAAGCACATAGGCCCTTAGCATGTTCAGGGTTTTATTTTGAATCACTAAGGGGAAATCAACATAGGACAACACACTGAAAATGGGGAAAGTGCAAAGGTTGCAGAATTTTGCAATTTTCTAACAGTTAACTCTGATTTACATTCCCTTCCTTACTGATACAGTGGTTACCAAAATCCCTCTTAGTCTTTATTCTTTAGTGGGCTTTCATCAAGCTTCCCCACTTCACACAAAACTCATAAAATAAAAGGTTGTTAATTTTGTCTACATAAAAAAATCCTGAACAGGAAGAAGCTTCCATTAGCAAAGTTAAAAGATAAACAACAAATGAGGAACACATACTTAAAACTTTCATCTAAAGGACTAATTTACTTATTATATAAAGGACCTGTACAAATCAATAATAAAAGACCAAATCATTCAATAGGAAAATGGGCAAAGGATATAAAGAGACAGTTCAAATACATGTAAATACAAATGGCTCACAAACATGTGAAAAGTTTATATTCAAGAGAAATTAAGAAACCCACACTGAGATATCATCTCACTTGTTAGACTAGCAAAGCAAGTCTGATAACATACTGTTGTGTGTGGGTGTAAGGAAACAGGTACTCACATTACTGGTGGGGGTGTAATTTGGTGCCTCCTCAGTGGACGGTTTAGCAATATCTACCAAATTGTGGTTGTACAAACTTTCTATTCCAGAAATCTGACTTCTAGGAATTCATCCTGTAGAGATACTCACATGTTCAAAATGACACATAAACAAGGTTATTCACTGCAACATTGTTTGTAATAGAAAGGCACTGGAAGCAGCCTGTGTCTCAATCAGATATTGAATAAATGATGTTTCTACAATGAAATACTTACTATGCAGCTATAAAAGAGAATGAAGAACCTCTTTATATGCCAATATGGAGTGAGCTCCAATATATATTGTTAAAACAGGACAAGATATAATATGCTACCATTTGTATAAAAAGAGGAGATTAAAATATATGTACACATTTGCTTGATAATGAATAAGCATAAATTATCTCTTGAAGGATAGTGTTAACATTAATTGCCTCTGGGGAGAAGAACTAGGTGATTAGAGGGTAGGGGTGGGAGGGAGACCTTTTACTATTTATCTTTTCTCTGTGCCTTTTGAATTTTGAAACATGTCAATGTATTACCTATTCAAAAAATAAATACTATTTTAAGAATAAAATTTCTCCCTACTTTGGAAACTCAGTACTAAAAAGTGAAGAGGTATGATGGAAACCTCTCCCAGGAATAAAAGTCCTCTTTTCAAAATGCTTACTAATCTCAAACAGATTCTATATCTAGGGATGTGAAGCAAGGCTGGGATAAGGGTGAGGTGAGTAAGGCACCCACTTGCCTTGTGTGAAAAATTTAGGGGATGCCAAAAAAACTCAGTAATCAAGATAAATTATATTCTAATGCAACATTTTTCAATTAAAAATAACGCAAAAATCCATGATGCATAAAAAAGACAGGATCAACAACAGTGCCACATGGAGCCATCCTAGAGCCTGAGGCGAAAGGAAAAATGTGGGTACCATATATTTTTTTAATGTATTCCTGAATGGTTAATTTTTTCTCAGAACATTAAAGCAGTTGGAAAAAAAAGTTGAAAATTGAGAAGTAGATACATTAAAACAGCACTAAGTTTAAATATTTTATTTATACTGAAATCAGAATTTATTAAGTTTTACTTTCCTGGGCTTTAATGGAAGCAAACTCATAAATATTTTCATTAAAAGTGATAATATTTTCATTATTTTCTTAGGCCTAATAAGAATATTGATTTGGGGGGAATGCTAGTAACCTGGCACAATTTAAATGCAAGGTAGATATTGGAGCACCCGTGGAGATGAGAATCACAAGGTAAACATGGAGTATTCAGTTATGCCATGCTAAGGAGTTTGGGCTTGACTTTGAAGGTGATGGGAAACCTCTCAAGTATTTTAATCACATGTTTTAGGAGGGTTATGATCATACCAGCGCTGAGGACTAAAAAAAGAACAAGAATGGAAGTAGAGACCCAGTCAGTTTTTAAGGTAGAGATGTAATTCCGAGATAGATAGGCTAAGTTTTGATGACTAAAGAAGAAGAGTAAGAGGAAAAAAAAA